AAAAAAATATTTTATATGGGTTCAAGTAAAGGCACACTTACAAAAACATGGGATGCGAGTGAGCCGAATACCCCATAAAATGGTTAGGAAAAAAACAACCTTCTCCCTTACAAGCAGGTTAAATATAAAGGGTGTTGTTCTTATATTTATAGGCATTTCTTTTTACCTGCTTACCCATTTATATCTATCTGGAATCACATAAACCGAATAATTGGCGTTCTTTAACTTCATATTTTATTAATTATTTGTGTATTATTTTACAATATTTTTATTGTTGTATCGGTCCAGGTTATATATAACCTTACTCTTGATTTTGGATTTTAAGGTATCAGTTGCAATTTCTAACCGAATTATCTAATACATAAAAATATCACTTATTTCTCTCGGCGAATGAAAATTTCTCAATGTGAAGCACATAATCATAATCCTGTATTTTATTTATTTTACGTAATTTGAAAATTTTATATATTTTCGGAAGTCTCTCCCAATAGTTATTTTGAATGCTTGAAAACTCGCCCATTGACATATTAACACCTATTTATGGCACCACTTTTATGCTAATTTTAAACATACCTGTTATATAGATAATAGATTGAAACCATATCAAAATTAAGTCTAACAGCTCGTGTTGTACGAATACAAAACTAATTGTCTTTGCGTGACAGTGTTGCCCATTAAAATCCACAAATCAAACGTCAACTTTTGTACAAAATCAAATAGAAAATCAAATCACAATGAAACATATTTATTAACACATGTCTATCACGGGACACCACATGGATTAAAGAGAAAACGTACAACAACTACCTCCTATTAAATGTATATATGTATTGCAATATAGGCATTTATTTTGGAAATTATATACCCAACTATCACTCATAAACTGTCTTCACAAAATGAAGAAGAAAGTGGGTGTTATTTATTTTAGAGAAACGATGCCCAAGAAAGTGTTACCAATTCGAAATTGTTAATGAAATTCACGAGAAAACCACTACCGCCAATTGCAGCCACAGACAATCTGCGAGCAGCGACGAAATGAAAAACTAAATTAATTACCAAGCAATGAAATATTGCAGTTTTAATTACGGCCAAAGACCGACCGGGTGTTTGTGCAGAAGCGGCGAGAAAGACCGGGTTTATTAAAAAGTGATGCACCAAATTGCCAACGATGCATGCAAATCTGTGGCTGCAAGAATTCCTCCATGACTGTTAGAAGTGAAATATTTTGGAAAACATTTATATTTTTATTACAATACACCATTTCCAAAGTATTTTTATTACTTTGCCGTTCCAGTATGGCGGTAACCTCATAACCTCATATAACATATCCACTATTGTAATCGCATAGCAGAGCCAGGTGGACCTTAAACCTATCAAGTCAAGTGCCATAGAATCGACAATCATTCTTGATTGCAATATTGCAATGAATATGAATTCATTAATATTTTTTCGGTCGCATGTCATAGCAACGTATTGGGGTATGAAGTGGTTAAAAAATAGCTCAGAGTGGTCCTCAGATATTCCAATTGATGAGATTGTGATATCGATTTGTTACTTCAAGAAGTCTCTCATCGAAGAAACATGTAGAATGTGAGACTTGGAAACCAGTTACAAGGTAAACTTGACCATCTGGCCGGTAATCTCGAGAAGGAGAACATACGCCTTTCTATAAGTTTTCAGGTCTGATATAAGATTTGCGATAGGAATATTAGCTGGTCAACGCAGCATTTTCAAGTCTGATCTAAGATTTGCGGTAGGTTTATTAGCTGGCCAACGCAGTATCAGATAACAACTTTCGGCTGACGCATAGATGTTCATCCTTAAACCAAAATATATTTAATGGAGAGCCCAAAAACAATATTCTGGGTTGTTACAAACTTCATTGCTCAATATTGGGAGTATTAACTCCCACAACGTAGTATTGCAGAAAAATAAGGGGTTTCAAGAGTTGTATTTGTTTAAAATTTCATTTACAAAATCCATGATTTCTGGATTTGTTTTTAAATGGGAATTTTTGTCACAAAAAATCCATTATTTTTTATAAAGAAATTAATGAATTAATCCTAAAAATCATGTCCAAAACCACCTTCTGCTCTTTATCCTAGACATCCCAACGGCACATTTTGTGGCAGTTTGCACTTTTCATGCGTCCATAAAACCACCTCCCTCTCTCAACTACAGATAAAAACAGTGACATCAATATCAAATTTAATTACACCAATTACTAATTTTAAGACTATTTAGTACTTTTGGTACACTTACAGTATTTATTGCCCAAACCACCCCCGTATTTCAACCACAGAGACCTTAATATCAAATTTTGATATTCCAACCTTATCCCTTCGTCCAATATCCAATTTAGTACTACTTAGTACTTTTTGAACAATTATAGTAAACATTTCCAATACCACCTCTATATCTTAACCACAGATACCAACAGTGACATCCATATCAAATTTCATGATTTCAGCGTTATTCCTTCATCAAATACCAAATTTAAAACTTCTCGTACATTTCAAAATCCATCCCCATATCTCGATTTTAGAGACCTCAATATCAAATTTCGGGGTTTCAGCTCTATCCCTTTACTCAATATTCAATTTAGTACCACTTAGTACCTTTCGGACAATTATAGTACACATTTCCAATACCACCTCCATGTCTTAACCACAAATATCAACAGAGATATCCACATATAAATACCAAAGTTAGAACTATTTATTACTTTTAGTAGAATTATAGTACTCATTACCCGAATTATCTCCTTATTTAAATCACAGAGACATCAATATAAAATTTCGAGATTCTAGCTCTATCGCTTCACCCAATACTCAGTTAAGTACCACTTCATAATTTTCGAAAAAATATCGCACATTTCCAATACCACCTCCAAAGACACGAACACAGGGTGAGATAAAAAACTACAATAAAGTCAAACGCCATATTTTTTAAAATTTTTTTTAATTTATTGAATGAAAGCAAAAAATGTCGGAAAAAGCATCAAATTTTAGAATAAGTTTAGATTTATCCGAATTAGTCACCTAAGGCACGAATTATGGTTTTCAAACGGCTAATGACATCGTCACACGCTGCCCGAATGTTGCTCTGCGGTATTCCCGGCGAAGCGCTTACTTCACGTGATCGACACTTTGGTATTTTTTAGTGTCAACCATGCTTTAGTCCAATGGATGGTATCCGGAGATTTTGGAGGCCATTGTACGTTGGAAACGAAGCGAGGAACCTCATTTTGTAACCATTTTTGGGTGGCGCGTGCTGAGTGCGATGATGCTGAGTCTGCGATAATATTCGGCAATTATTCTGACACCACGGTCGATTAATACGAGCGGAGAGCGACCATCGACTGTAATGGCGGCCCACACTACCACCATGGCCGGTGCTTGAGTTCTGGTGGTCAACCGAAGGTGCACATTTTCAGCTGACCTCTTTGGCAAGTAAACACGATCATTTTGTTTGTTTACAAACTGCTGGACAACGAATGTTTTCTCATCGGAGAAAACCAAATTCGAAGCAACTCTTTAGGTCTTTTGAGTTTATTTTGTTTCTGTTGCGGTGTAAGTTCTTGCACTTTTTGTAATTTCTATGGGAGAGATCTTTTCTCAATATTTGCCAAAAGGAATGTTGCGACATGTTCAGCTCACGAACCATTTTCGACCACTGCGACGCAGGTTTCGATCAAGACGCTTCTTTACTTTTCGAACCATTTCTGCTGATGTTGCTGTTTTCTTCTGTCCACTTCCTTGACGTCGGGCAACGTTACCAGCATCACGGTAACGAGCAATGGTACGGGACACAAAAGATTTATTCACATTTAAATGCTGGAGTGCTCTAACGATAGCCACTTGTGGTTTTCCAGCCAAATATAAAGAAATCGCACTATCACGCTTGAATAAACTTTTATTCTGGAAATACTCACCAAAATGCTTTTGTACGCTTGTAAACAATATAATGGACTGTCACTGGAATAATTTTAACAACTGTCGGACGAGTGGCTTGGAAATGACAGCAGTCTGAAGTTTGTTGCAGTTTTTTCACCCTGTATAATACTACAGGTAATCCTATAAAACCAGCTTATGGTAACATAATGTGTCAAAAATAGCTTTTCCAATTTTATCTGGGCATGGCGTTCAATTTGTTAATTTAAAACTTCAATTGAATATTTAAATTTTGAACATTTTTGAAAAACCTATTTTGTTTATTTGTGAATATTTTTCAAAAAAGAGAAGAGTAGATGAAAGGTCTGTTCTGGTTCGGTGCATCGGAATTCCGATGTTTGTGCTCGCATTCACTTATATCTGAAAAAAAATTCAAATCTATTGTCCAATTAGCCAGCTTTGTCCTGATGTTCAAATTTCCGGTAATCAACATCAATTACGACCAGTATTTCTAGAATCCACTTGCTCATTATTTACAGGATGGCAAGAAGGCATTGAAAGATTTGTAACAATGTGTTAAGATCCCTTACCACTGAAGATAATATGCTGCCATTTTCCTGGCTGGACTGCCCCAATAAAGTAGCAATTTAAATTCTAAATACTGTTCAGTTCTATTGATTTGTTTTACTTATATCCAGGTTTGGAGCAATCTAAAGGGGTACAATAAAAATTGTTTATTTTTAGAGTTTTTGTATAGCAACATAAACTTTTGCCTTTTTTTCCAATTTTTGTTTATAAATTTTGCAGTTCTATTTCGCATATCATAAACTTAAGAAATGGTGTTGCTGTATTATTTTCATTTCTTTATTTAACATGCTCTGAATAACCAATAATGCGCTGCAGTCTACTTTAAAAGCAAAAACACAACAAAAAATTAATGAATAGAAAGAAATGAAACAAAAGCGCATTTTGTTGTGGCATTAACAAGGTCCAGTAATTGTTGTCTAAAGATCCGCAGCTCTACATTAGATGAAAAGTTGAAGAAAATGTATAAATTTCTTAGCCATGCTAAGCCCAAAGATCAGTTGCATTTTGTTAAGAAATCGAGGTGGTGCGTTTGTGAATGAGAACTGCAAAAAAGAAGAAAAGTGATTTTTTGGTTGCGAATATAGAAAAGTAAAAGCCACAATTTGGAAGAGACAAATTAAAGGATTTGAGAAGTTGAAAAAAAAAAACAAACACTTAATTAATTCTAAAGACATTTAATCCTGAAAAATATGGGATCAAAGCTGGTGTATTTGTGTGTGCTGATTGCAGTGGCCTTGAGCAGTAGCTGCATTGCTGTAGAATTACCGGTTGCGGTAACTGCACAAAGTGAGCGTGGCCTTTTAACAAATAATGCCGTTTCAAGAACATTGCATCATGTTCTCAATCATTGCCTGAATCAAAATGATGTGCTGTGGTGTTTCAAAATACAGGGTGCCAAACTTTTGGGACGTGCCCTGAAATTCCAAAATATCAACATCGTTGAGGGCGTCACATTGGTTAAGAAAAATGATAGCGAATTGAGAACGGGTCGTTCCAGTGTTATAGATATGAAGCTTAGCAACCGTGATCTGGAAAATCTTTCATCGAAAAGCCTGGATTCCCTGCTAATGGAAAGATGTACATCCTTCATCAGATCACGACAATTGCAAGTCAATCTGCCACGTCTTTTGTCCTTTGGCAAGAGTAATGCCCAGGATGTAATGCAAACGATAATGAATTTCTTCAGCACCACCACAGCCAAGGCCAACGAGGCTGCCGATGAGATTGTGGGTGGTGGTGGTGGTGATGGTGTCGAAGAGGGCCGTAAGAAAAAGGATGACAAAAAGTATTTGGGTCCCTTTATAGCGGCCGTAATGCTAAAGGCGGCCATTCTAAAAATGGCATATCATTCAATTGCCATTGTGGCGGGTAAGGCATTGATTGTGGGCAAAATAGCTCTGATCATCAGTGCCATAATTGGTCTCAAGAAATTGGTGTCGGGTGAGGGTGGTGAGAAGACCACCTATGAAATAGTCAAACATCCACAGGTCCAACAGAGTCACACATATTCTTCGAGTCATCAGAACGAATACGAAGGTGGTCATGAAAGTGGTTCATATCATCGCAGCATGGACGATGAAATGATGATGCAGGATAAGGCCTACAATGCTTGGGTGCCAACAACATCGTAAGCAGTAATTTGGCCACCCCATAACTAGCCAAGTGAATAGCTAACGATCTTGATGCAACACTTACACACACGCGCACACATGAAGATGGAGAGCGAGGTTGAGTGATGTCACGCATACTGGTGAAAGTTTCAACCACCCCCAAAACGACCATCACCAAAACCTACAGCCACTTGCCTACCAAAGATTTTTTAACTTATTAACCTTAAAAATTAAAAAAAAAAACAACTACAAACCAAGTGAAACATTTTATCGGCATATAAGCCACCTTCGAGAATCATTTAAGCATAACCGAGTGGCATGATAACGAACGAGCCACTCTAATTTCTCCAAAAATGCAGCCAACCTGAAATGAAACATTTGCAACAAACCGATAACAGATAACATACACACACATATTCATTCACATTCTTACCATAAGCCGAGATGAAGGAGATGAAAAAACAAAAGAAGACATTCAATCCGCTTTCGTTTTATTTTTAAATATTATTTCGTCTATTTAATTAATTGTTAATTTTTTAAGATATCGAAAGAAAAAAGTCAACTGATTTGGAATTTTTAGTTCATAAGTTCGAGTGTATTTGTACAAGCAACAATAATTACAATAAAAATTGTATTGATGTATGTATGCGTGCGTGTGTTTAACTCAGTTTTTTTTCTGGAAACTCCTAGACAGGTATTTGTCTCCGCTTGAATTCGTCTTCATTTTCGGCCTCCTCGTAGTAGGCGATTGGAGGTCCGGTCACTGGATGCCGATACTGGAGTGGCATGCTGCGATGCCAGCCTGAACTGTGCTCATGACTGTGGCCACCACCACCGCCACCGCCGCCACCACCTCCTCCTCCCGTTACAATAACATGTTCAGTGCTACCACTGCTTCCACTGGATCCCTTTTGAGACTGCCCTGAAAGTAAATCACTCTTAGATGGTTTTTTTATAGGTCTTATAAAGAAAATTTAAGAAAGGGTTATATGTTTGATTCTCTCAAGGCTGTTAAAAATTGGTTTCTAAAATCAGGACAACTCGTTGGAGTGATTTGCATATACATTTTAATCTATCTTTATTGTTGTTAGGTGGCTCTTCGATGATTTAAAATAGCAATTTGGCAAATGTATGTATTTTATGGGTTTTGGGTTTTGTAAATAAAAGACTTAGAGAACCCCCTACAGGTCTTCTGTAGAAAGAAAAGTTTTATCCATTTCATGGCCTTTTACAAATCTTAAACTGGAAGTACTCGATTTGGTTAACTTGGAATATCGTACTTTTTTAATCAAACGTAGATTGAGTTTTTTAATATCGGTATATTCCTGGTGGCCTCTCCCACAAAACTTTCATAAACAATTTTTTAACAGAAAACGAAGAGTGTACCCCCTTAGGCCTTTATCGTAGAATCGATTTCGGATTTAGTTAGAACGGCTATGAAGAGAATAAGAGAGGTCCATTTTCCAGAAATCATAAAGATTTTAAATAAACATATATTATGTATATATACAGGGCGAGTTGAAAAAACTGCAACCAATTTCAGACTGCTGTCATTTTTAAGCCACTCGTCCGACAGCTGTTAAAATTATTCCAGTGACATCTTATTGTATTGTTTACAAGCGCACAAAAGCATTTTGGTGAGAATTTCCAGAAAAAAATTATTTGTGATGGAATTTAAACGTGATAGTGTGATTTCTTCATATTTGGCTGGAAAACCACAAGTGGTTATCGTTAGAGCACTCCAGCATTTAAATGTGAATAAATCTTTAGTGTCTCGTATCATCGCTCGTTACCGTGACACTGGTAGCGTAGCCCGACGTCAAGGAAGTGGACGAAAGAAAACAGCAACATCAGCACAAATGGTTCGAGAAGTAAAGAAGCGACTTGATAAAGCCTGCATCGCAGTGGTCGCAAAATGGCTTGTGAGCTGAACATATCGCAATATTCCATTCGCAAATATTGAAAAATAAGCTCGGGCTAAATCTATTGAAATTCAAAAAGTGCAAGAACTTACACCGCAACAGAAAGAAAATAGACTCAAAAGAGCTAAAGAGTTGCTTCGCTTGGCCGAAAGTTGTGAACTAGCGAATTTGGTTTTATCCGTCTCCGATGAGAAAACATTCGTTGTCCAGCAGTTTGTAAACAAACAAAATTATCGTATTTACTTGCCAAAGAGGTCAGCTGAAAATGTGCACCTTCGGTTGGCCACCAGAACTCAAGTTCCGGCCATGGTGGTGGTGTGGGCCGCCATAACAGCCGATGGTCGCTCCCCGCTCGTATTAATCGACCGTGGCATCAGAATAAATGCCGAATATTATCGCGAAAATATTCTGGAGGGTGTATTAAAGCACTGGGCACGCAAACATTTTCCTCGTTTCATTTCCAGCGTACAATGGCCAAAAATATCTCCGGATACCAATCCGTTGGACTATTGTGTCTGGAGTATTTTGAAAAGCAAGGTTGGCACTAAAAAATGCCAAAATGTCTACAACCTCAAGCAACCGCTTCGCTGGGAATGGGCCAAAATGCCGCAGAGCAACATTCGGGCAGCACGTGACGTTTTCATTGGGCGTTTGAAGGCCATTTATCGTGCCAAAGGTGACAAATTCGAACAAATCTAAACTTATTCTAAAATTTAATGCTATTGCCGATATTTGTTGTTTTCATTCAATAAAATTAAGTAAAGGTATCGGATATATATAGAGAAATATATAAAATGTGTATATACAACGAAAGGGGATATTAGATAGAATGCTTATATCTTAAGAATGGCTGGACCGATTTTGACAAATTTTGTCAATTCAGAATGCGCTCTTGAAATATTTTCCTAATCGAACAACTGAAAACAATCGACAACAAATGAGAAGAGAGTTAAGGAAAGGGATGACTATTGCATTATATTTAGCTGTAAAAAGGCCCACAACAACTAACAGCACGGCGGAGTGCGTAAATATTGGGCAAATTTCCTTGGTCAAAAAACTAAGGGTAATATCTGGGCAGGGCTCTATGACATAATTTCAAAAGCGAAATCTTCTAAAATGGATTTGAATATAAGGGGACTTCTAACATATTGTAGTGTTGTAGGGTATCACATGGTCGGTCCTGCACGACTATAGCCTTTGCTTACTTTTTACTACTGTGTTAACACATTTCCATCAAAATCTCCCACAATTTTTTGCCAAGCAAGAAATATTCTAGACTGAAATTCAAAGTGAGTCCCTAAACAAATGAAAGTGGTATGCATAATACGTTCCAAAAAAAAAAGAACAAGTAAAAAAGCACAATTTGGAAGGAACTTTAAAATTTTCAAAAAAAAATTCGAAAACTACCACTTAAATAAAAACAGCTATACGGGGGATATACGACGACGTAGACCTGCATACAAAAATGTTTGTAATAGGCTGTAGTACTCATTAAGAAGTCCAGATACGAAATTTGAAATAATTCCGGTAAATAATGTCGCTAAAATCATGAAAATACCGAATATAGGGAGGTACCATCATATGGGGCTATACGAAGACATGGACCCGCATACGATTTTGTTTGCTATAGGTTGTAGTATCCTTTAAGATCTTCCAATACAAAATTTGAAACGATTACGGTGAATAATGTTGCTGAACTCATCAAAATACCGGATATCGGGGGCTACCGGACTGACATAGCCCATTTACGAACTTAACCTGCCTAATGGTAAACTATGCATGTATGCAAAATTTTAGCCTTTTCTCTGTATTCGTTCGAAAGATAGCGTTATTACAACAGACAGACGGACATCGCTAGATCGTCTTAGAATTTTACGCTGATCCAAAATATACCCTCCGTAGAATGGTGGAGGGTGTAAAAAGTCATCCATTTTGGTTTATAATGAAGTACGGCTTTAACACTAAAATGTGTTTTAATTCTTATGAACTCCTGACAATTGGAAACATTTATTTCTTTGATAAATTATGACAAAAAATGTAGATTATTATGACTTGCTGCGATACCGTTTAATGGGAGATTTTTAACCATATTGTAAAATAAAGACAAAAACCCTTCCCTTCTAATCCTTAAGGGTTAGATCTTTTAACTAAATAATCCGTGTATTGTCGTCTGTAGAATTACCTGAGGCACTATATACCTAATATGTAGGGACTCCAATGAATTCTTGTGCCCAAGTTTCAGAAAATATTGAAGTGTGGGACATTTTTACATTACAACTGTCTTTTTTTTTTTTGTTGCACAGTGTTATTATCGAAATTTTATTTTTCTTATACAATGTGATGAAACCAAAAGAAAGTTAAGTCCCATCAAACTTTTCGGGATTTAAAATGTCGAAAAAGTAATGCCCGTTAAAAAACTTATCTTTTTCCTTTAAACTACGATTTCCCTCAGACGTTTATTTCAGGCTGCCCAAAATATTTTTCCCACCCAACAAGCCCAGAAAAGGATCTCCCTCTATACCTAAACTATCAAACCAATAATATATTGAGTTGATTTCTTTTCTGAGTAAAATGCTCCCCCTCTATCCTTCATCGTTGGAGAGAAATAAAAGAGTATTTTGTTTATCTGAGATCCAATACAATATTTATTTGGGACTAGATAACAGCCTTCCTTTTTTGTAAACATTTTAACATAAACTGTATTTCAGACAATGTATGAAATAAACGCCTAGTTGACCAGACCAGAATTGACTTAGTTACGGATTTTCATTCTCTATTCTCTAATCCCAATGATTATTGACCTGGTTTGGGGAATTTTAAATTTCATTCATTCATTTTGTTTAATCTAAATCAAAGTGAAAAGAAAAACGAAAGAAAATTTAACTCACCAATACTGAGACAAGCAATGCTATTTTCGCCATTACAAATGCCGCTCCAGCTATTAGAATCACTTTGCCCAGAAACATTTGGGCCACCATTGCAATCATCGCCATGCCACCCATCATAGCCATGTTTTTATCTTTGTCCTTCTTTTTGCGACCTTTGGGAGGTTTTTTCCGATATTTGTTTGTTAGGTACCAGATTTTGTTTTTATCCGTCAACAGCGATAACGGTGCATTCAGACAGAGAGGGGAAGAAGAGAAGTAGGGTTTGAATTTATAAGGTTTTTTGGGTTTTGAGGTTATTGAAGCAATTTTATCATCTACAAGACCATTCAATATACGTTGCGTACCTTCTTCCTGTAGTGACGTCGTCGATGACGGTGATGTGTCCGACGAATTAATAAAATCATCCAGGCCACCGGAAATACCAGCTTTATCTAGCAGAGATGTCACACTGCTCGGTAATTGCAATTTCAAAGAACGCGATCGAGCCAGTTGTAATAATTTAACTGCCATTGTGTCGCCCAGCGAACGCTGTTGTCTTGAGAAATTTTGAAATTTGTCATAATCCTTGTCCGTCGATTGGGCGTTTTTCTCCAACGTAAAATATTCACTAAACTGCCAGGTGTCATTATTCTTTATGGCCATATCGAGTGTTTGTAATAATTTATTTTCCAGACAATTAACAATTTCATTTTGACCGAAGCACTGGGCAATTAATTGGCCCATTTGACGCGCCGAAAATTTTCGATTTGCATTCTGAGGTAGTTGTGATGTTGAATGTATGGCCGATATGAATTTGTAATGCACACTGAGGATCACAAAAATTGTCACTAGTTTTCTCAACATTTTTGAAAGGATTATTTAATTTGTTTTTATTTATTTTTTTCTTGGAAAGTCTTTACAATTGCAACCTTTGACTTGCGCTATTAAAATAAGACTAAACCCACTTTTAATTGTCAACCATAATTTATATGGAAATTAGTTTTCTTTTTCTTTTCTTTTCCGTATTTGAAAGCATTTAACTTATATCTCCATTTTCCAATCTGTGTATTTTCTTCTCTGTTTCCATGTTTTCTGTTTTCCAGGTTTCAATTACATTTCTATTTTCATTTTCATTTATCCAACCGCAAAGAACCTTTTCTTCAACTCTTAGTGTCATTAGGGCTGTAATTATGTGTGCTTATCGAGACAGACGCTAAGCACGCCCCTTCCGCAACAGAGTTCAAGAGAGTGGGCAAAACATGTCTGTGTTTTACTGTAGGTATTTAACGAACAACTAGAGCTTTACAATATGACCTTTTTTTATTCTGACATATGTAAGTTAAAAACTGGAGTTATAGGCTCAAGATTCTAATTATACCCGACACAATATAGTGGTAAGGGACAAGGAAGCGGAATAGACCCAAAGATACTTTTGATGATATTCATAGAATCACTTTCTGAGTCGATTTATGCATTTCAGTCAGTTATGCACCAAATGGCCAATAATAGTCTTAATGACCTGAATTTTGATACATCCGACCGAAATCAGTCTAGATGTAAGTACATCGAATTTGGGGAAAATCGGTTCAGATATAGATATAGCTCCCATGTATATATTTCATCCGATTTGGTGTTTAAGTCCCTCATATTCGTAATATGCATTCGACAACAATAATATTTGGTACCAGGTACCTTATAGAGATCAGAAATACTTTTGCTAAATTTTATCGAGAACGACTAAGATTTAGATGTAGCTCCCATATATATCCTTGATCCGATTTCAGGTTTATTGTGAAAATAATGGCTAATATCAGCCCAAATGGAGTGAATTTCGGGACGTACGTTTCCATTTTGTGGAACTCTGCTCCGATATATATTTTTAAAATAATTCTTCTCGAAGTGATATATGATATGATAGTTACGGAAGCTCTACTAAATAAGCATAGCGGTCATATAGTCGGCCCCGCCCGACTTTTTTACTTTTCCTTTCTGGGTTTTTGTTTAAAGAATTAGAATCGGTTGCTAAGAAATTCATAAGATTTTTTTCATAATATTATTGGAAAGTGCCCGCCAATTCGTCAACGATAAGTCGACCTTAAAATTTTATATTCGTTGCAACAGGAACAAACACTAGGAACAATGAATGACCTCAATATCAATTTTCAGAATTCCAGCTCTAATCCAACACCCAACAGCAAGTTTTGGGGCCCTTTGCACTTTTCGTACGTTCATAGAACGAACTTCCAAAATTACAAATGTACAAATTTCGTACAGTACAATTACAAAAGAGTCTCCATATCTCAGCCCCATATACCAACAGCATCTGTAATATATCCGACTGCCAAATTAAGTACTATTTAGTACAATGACACAAACACTAACATCCCTATCGAATTTTGAGATTCCAGCTCTATCTCTTCCAATTTAGAACCGTCTATTATATTCCGAACTAATATATTATAGGGTGAAATAAAAAAAACTGCAACAAAGTCAAACGCCATACTATTGAAAATTTTTTTAAATTATATTGAATGAAAGCAAAAATGCCAGAAATAGCATCAAATTTTAGAATAAGTTTAGATTTGTTGGAATTAGTCACCTTTGGCACAAATTATGGCCTTCAAACGGCCAATAAAACCAAATGTTTCTCTGAGGTATTTTGGCAAATTCCCGGCGAAGCACTTGCTTGAGGTGATCGATACTTTGGTATTTTTTAGTGCCAACCTTGCTTTCCAAAATACTCCAGACACAATAGTCCTACGGATTGGTATCCGGAGATTTTAGTGGCCACTGTGCGTTGGAAGTGAAACGAGAATCCTCATTTTGTAACTATTCTTGGGTGGCGCGTGCTGGATGCGATGGTGCTGAGTCTTGTTGGAATGTCCAAGGTCTGCGGCCAAAATATTTGCGTGCCCAAGGCTTTATACACCCTTTAAAATATTTTTCCGATAATATCCTGCATTTATTCTGATGCCACGGTCGATTTATACGAGCGGAGAGCGACCATCGGCTGTTATTGCGGCCCACACCATGGCCGGCGCTTGAGTTGAGGTGGCCAACCGAGGGTGCATATTTTCAGCTGACCTCTTGGCAAGTAGACACGATCATTTTATTTGTTTACAAACCGCTGGACAACGAATGTTTTCCCATCGGAGAAAATCAAATTCGGCAGTTCACCACTTTCGGCCAAGCGAATCAACTCTTTAGCTCTTTTGAGTCTATGTTCAGCTCACGTGCTATTTTTCGGCCATTGCGACGCGGTTTTCGATCTAGTCGCTTCATTACTTTTCAAACCATTTCTGCTGTTGTTGCTGTTTTCTTCTGTCCACTTCCTTGACGTAGGGCTACGCTACCAGTATCACGGTAACAAGCGATGGTACGAGATACAAAAGATTTATTCACATTTAAATGCTGGAGTACTCTTACGATAAATAAAAGTACAAATTTCCGAAACCACTTCCATATGTCCAGGCTACACATGAATAGCGACTCTAATAACAATATCAGATCTCTGCACTATCTGTTTACCCAATATCAAATTGTACCAATAATAGTACTACTTATTACTTTTCGTTCACTTGTAATACACATTTCCCAAAGCACCTCTTTATCACAAACATACCATCAACAGGTCATCCGTTCACCCTGAACCAAACTGTTTCAAATTTAGTGCAGTTCGCACACTTGGTACACATTACCAATACCAACGTCTTACATCAACTCCATTTCCAAGAATTGATTCTCATACTAATCGAGAGATTCAAGCTTTTACCACCATCCATCCATTTAATTCCAAATGGTAGCGAATTTAGTGCATTTAAGTATCAAAGACTCTCAGTCTAAATTTCAGATTTTCGCCTCTATTCGTTCCCTAATACCAAGATATCACTACTATTCAGTTCTTTTTAGTACTTTTTAGTACGTATTTCCAAATCCCCTGCTATGTATCAACCAAACCGCAGAAAAGGTGATCCAAATTCCAATTTTAGACTTCCAACTAAATTTCTTACCCAAATATGAAATATAGTACCATTTAGTACTTTTTGGTACGTATTTCCAAAACCACCTCAAATGTAAATCCTATACACTAAGCGTGCCCCTAATGCTAAATTTCTGATGTCAAGCACTATCTGTTCACCCAATACCAAATTGTACCAAATATAGTAATATTCTAAAACATTTCTAAAACCATCTTCATATATAAACAAGTAAGCAAAGGCTACAGTCGAGCGGGGCCGACCGTTGAATACCCTACAACACTATAATAAACGATACAGTTTATATAGACGAGATACTCGGAAGAATTTCACAAGATATTGTGACAAATAATAAAAGAAAACCATTAGGTTTCGTTCTCTAATTTTCGAAATAGCAACTTAAACTAATTTGCTCATTCCAATTTATTGGTAGATGTTGCACGTAAATGGTCTTCCTAGATCTGGATCCAATATTCCCAAACACCTATAATCTCTCAGAAGTGGCAAAAGATTAACATTTATTATTGGTTTTTGACTGAAACGCATCTATATGGGATACAGACATATGACTATATTCTTCAAAGAAATCAGCGTTAACGACATAGTCAGAAGTGCGTCTTTCCTATATTTGTGAATTCCCCAAAAAGTCACTGGAATGGACATTTTCGTATTTTGTCTACAAAAGTTGGCAAACTCCTTCACACATTGAATATTTTTGGATGGCCATCCAAAACTGCTTGGCTTTGCACTGTCCGGTAACCCCCATTCATATATGCGTGAGGACCGGGCGATAATTACGACCTGCTGACAATTTGCAGTTTTTGGTCCATTTCAACCCCTAAATATATGGCGATCATCTCCAATAAGAGTAGGCTTCTTTTCTGACCCTCATCTTATCCCCATGCAAAATTTCGTAAGGATCGGGCCATAAATGCGATCTGTATATGATATCCTGATATCCTAACTACTTAGTTTTTGTTAGCTGTAGAAATATTACCAAATGTTTAATTCAAAATGAAAATATGCCAAAAATATGACAAAATTGAAAAAATATGAGAAAATTTTACAAAATCAATGTTTTCCTCTTTAGAGAGATATTTTATGCGATTTTTTAGACGTTTTTCCTTTCCTGCCAAGAGGCCATTCTGAATTAATGTGAACTGTCGAAATCAGTTCAGCCGTTCTCGACATATAAGAGATCTTTCTAGCATATCTTCTTTGATAGACATATATATCGCACATATTTTGCTATACATCCTTTTTGGTGGATGTTAACATCAATGTAAAGATCAGGAGTAACCTTGTCATGACTTTGTGATTTCGCCGCGATTTAAAATATTCGCGGTTTAATGAAAAATTTTGAATTTTTTCAACAAAAAAGATATGGTCTATTTTACCCGCTAAATATTAACCGATGACCATCAAAATTGGTAGGCTTCTTCCCCGCCCTAAACTCTAGCTACATGCGAAATTCGCGTCGATGGGTCTATAATTGCTACCTGTATAGCTACTGCAAAATCCGACATTTTTTCAGTATTTGGTCCATTTCAACCCCTAAATATTATGCGATCATCTTCAAAAAGAAATAGGGTTCTATTCTGACCTTAACCCCACCTCCATTCTAAATTTCGTGGAGATCGGACCATAATTGCGACCTGTAGAGTGATTACAAATTAACATGGACAGACGGACAGACGGACAGACGGACAGACGACGGACGGACATACATAGCTAGATCGACTCAACTCGGCGAGCTAGGAAGATCCATATATACTTTCCTATGTGGGAAATCAATATTTCGAGGTGTTACATAATTTTTGGCCCAATCAAACTTATAATACCCCCAACACATAGTGTTGTAGGGTATAAACATACTTTCCAACCTTGATTCTCATACCAAATTAAAAATTTCAGCTCTATCCGTTCTCATAATAGCAAATTACACCATTTTAA